TCTTATTTTTGTTAATATCATGTATCGACTAGATAATCTTGTAAATGTCCCATCCTCCTATGCCAAATTAAGCTCTAATTGACTCATACCATTAGGTTTGCATATCTTAACCATCTATTTGCCACAATAATAGTGGACTTCATCTTGATGCTTATCGGCAACAATCAACAACTCAAATTTGGCACACAGGGAAAATTTGTTAGATCCAATCCTCCTTCTAAGAAAATTGTACCCTCTTTTGTTGCATTTGTTTGTCCTTCATCTAACATCCCTATTGAGTATGTGACGATGCCCTATTTAGATAAGCTTGTAAATAAGTCATTATAAAACAATATAAAAAATTAATAAAACTCTTCATACTTCATATAAGTTAAAATTAACTTATAATTATCTATTTTTAAAAGTTAATATTATTTAATTTCTATAAAATTTAAAGAGAGAAATTATTTTTAACTTATGTAAAAAGATTTGTTACTTTTTTATATTATCTTTTTTTCTCAATTTCACTAATTGCAGCCAAATATCACGTATGACACATTTCTTTCAAAATTCCCAGTCATATAATTTGATGCCCCGGTATCAATAATCCATAAAGGGTTACCTGTGATATTCTCGTTAGTGTTTGGTTTGTAAATCATCTCCACAGGTCTTTGCCACTAATCAACGATCAAACGTGGGAGCTCAAGTTTGCCTCTTCTGTTATGAAAATAGACGTCCCTTCACTACTCCCAACGCATGCTGCATGGGCTTGAACACCAATCCATCTTCGTTGACCTGATGCCATACGCTGGTGGGACTTGCCCTTGCCACCTGATTTTTCATCACTTCTTGGTCTACCACTCACCATTCAAGATAACCAATTACCTAGAAGCACTCATTCTCATCCTTTTACGACATGAGTATATGTTTGTGTTTTGTCTTGGGTCTCTTCTCGACCTCTCCCTTTTACACGAGCAGCCAGTCCCATGACGTTGCTTTTATCTTCCTTAGGCTTGACAATAGTTCTCACACGTTCTTCCTATATCATTGTTGAGTAGACTAGATTTAAGGATAGCAGAGGATCATTTGCCAACAGATTAGAGCGCACGATGCCATAAATAATGTCATTCAATCCCATCAAGAACTAATGTACCTTCTCCTTGTCTCTTCGCTTCTCTAATTTTGAGGCTGTTACACTTGCAGCCTCCACACTCACAGGTTGGAATCTGTTCACAATCAGTCAACTCATCCCACAAGGTTTTCAATTTTTCATAATATGTTGCTACCGTGTGTTCGTTCTGCTTACAATCCACTAATTCTAATTTTAGTTTATGAATTATTGGGTCATTAACTATCGAAAATCTTTCTTTGATGTCCTTCCAGAGATCTTTGGCATTCTCCATATAAAAGATCGCAGAACGTGTGCTTGGCTTTATGGTATTCATTATCCAAGAGACAAGTATAGATTCGACAGTCAACCAATCTTCCATCTTAATTAAGTTTTCCTTTCTTCGGCTGTTAATTGTCCCTTCAATCTTCCATTAGGATTGTCGTTTGAATTGAAGTCATACGGAGAAGCTGCTTGCTTCCCTTGATCCACATGTTGCTCACATTGTTCTGGTATTTGATTTCAAGTGTTAACCATAACAAGAAGCTAGCTTCTGGTACCATAACAGGTTCTGTAACGCTTGCACTTTTTATTGATAGGAAAACCAGTGCAGATATACATAGCAGTAGGAGAAACTAATTACAGTAACATTGCAATAAAGGAACAGTGTCATTAACTTTAATATGATTGACTGTGATTGATAGGTGATTATAATCATATCTATGAAAATCGTTAAGAATCTCGCAAATCCTTGTTACAAGAGTTGTTTAGTTGCTTTATGTATTTTTTCTGTCACTTATCAATTCTAGGAGAAAATTTCAAGATTAATCATAGAAGAGTAGCACATTTATTTTAGTAACATTTTCTTGCCAAATCATAGTTAATTTTCTTTATAACTTATGCTATATTACCACAAAATCACATTAATACATGCAACTTTTTTTTTCTCTGCTCCTATGCTTCTTTCTTTCACTTCTCCATTGAAAGTTCCTTTTTAAGAGGAAAAATATTCATTGAGATATTTTTGCAAAGCAACCAAATTTTTGACATTTTATTTTGTGATAGATACTTATTGTCACATGCACTAAAGCAACGTGCTTTTCATTTGAGAGAAATACCGCTTGATAATAAATTATTGTAGCAATGTATCCTGTAATAACGTAAATGTTGTCAATTATTAATGTAGGTACGTGGGAGTAAGTAGACTAGAAATTGGTGATCCAAGATTAATAAAGACATTCAAGTAAGATTTTTAGTTGTTATTTTATTAGTTTTCTCTTTTAATGTTTTCTTCTTTTTTATTTTACCCTCCCATGAGTTAAAATTTAATTTGTGATTGTGTTCATATTTAATTTAATAATTATTTATTTCTTTCTCTTAAAACAACCAAAATGCTTCAGAACACTAATTTCTTTTGTTATAAATATTTCTCAAAACGGCCATAATTCTTTCACACATTGTAGTAGTTGATTTTGCTTTTGTATGCTTTAGCTTTTATTGAGCTCGTTTTGATCGTAGATAATAATTTCTATGAATACTAATCCCTTAGCCTAATGGGAAGGGAAGTTAGCTTTGTTTTGTTTAGTTATGGACTTGTGTACTTCAACCAATGAGGTGTCCACTATAAAGGTAACTAAGATATATAATGTCTGTCAAATTCATCAACTTTGCAATTTTTCAACGAGAGACCATCATTCCTTTCCAAACAAGATTATTTATTTTGATTCAAATGTTATATTACCATACATCATATGTTGTTCAAGCTTTCTATATTGTTTTTTGAAGACTAATTGAACTGTGTATTTAAAAATAACATGTTTTTCTCTTTAACTTCTTAGTTATCAATTCATTTAGTATATTGTATGAAAAAGTAACTTTAGAAGATGATTAACATGTAACCATTTTTAGAAAACAATTATGTACTAATTATTATCTAAAATCACCTTTAAAGAGTGGTTAAATATTAATTACTCTTTAAAATTATCTTTTGTACGCAGTTATATTAGTTTGTTATACAAATAAATGTTTTAAAAGATATAAAATGATGCTGTGTTTGTTATCAAATTTTTTAGCTACTAAATTAGTAACTTAGCATCCAATAAAAATCTGGTTACTAAAGTGACAAGCAACTAAAATTTAACCACCACCTTTATTCGATGACTAGTGACTAATTTAGTCACTAACTTAATTTAGTGGTTTTTTCAATTAATTTGTTTATTTTCTTTATTAACTTAGCTTTAAGTTTTTTTATTTTATTTCATTTATCAAAATTTTGCTTGGTTTGATTATATTTAATAAATTATTTTTTATTAAAAATGATTTTTAGACATCTAGCAAGGTGTATCCATTCAAAGAGAAATATAAAATAAAAGAAAAGAGAGAAATAATAAATATAATAGATGTTGTAATGTGATAAAAAATTAAACGAAATGAAAGATACTATATTAACACTATTAAAATATTTATAAATCAAAATTATTGTTATTTAGTTCGTTAAGTATTTAACTGCTTAATGTTATAATTTTTTCAAAACCCATTTTATCAAGTTAGACCTTATGGTAACGCAAAAGTTGCTTGTTGCATTGATATTTGTATCTTTGACTTTATAAAAAAGTTATTTTAAGATCTAATTTTATAAAATGTTATTATTAAAAAATATTTTTTAAAAATAAACTATTTTTTAATTAAATAAAATAATTAACATAATTTAAGAGACAAAAATGAATATTTACTTTTAAAAAAAATCTAAGAACTTCGTTTTCCTTCGAACCAAGCAGCCTTCAAAGCCTAATTAATTTGTTTTTATTCATGGCATGCATGTCTATGCTCTTTTTAATGTAAAAAAACAATGTTTTTAAATTGTATGATGATAAAATATTTTTGAAAAATTATAAACGTAATTTTAGTGTTTTAAAAAAACCGAAAAGGATAGTTTCTAGAAATAAAAAAATATATAACTTATTCTTAAGCATGGGTTAATAAGAATAATTTGAATTTAATTGTTAAAAATAATTCTTTAATCACAAACTGAAAGTATTCAATAATTTTGACATTTATAAGATATTAAATGTTTTTTTATTTAATTAAGATCTTGTGAAATAAATATGTTAACCTAAAAACAATTAACTCCTGCGACATTCTCTCCACCCCTTTATTTTAGCTCAAATTTCGTCGTCTCTATTGCAGATTCTGAGGGGATAAGATAGGATTATCTTCTAATCCCAAGTGGTACTTGGGATTGGACCTATGTATTTAAGCATGATGACCAAAAACCATTTAACTGCTATCTTCGTAATGCCATTGACCACAGACAAAAACATTTTTGGCCTTCTACGTGTACATCTTTAACAATAGTACGAAATGAGAAAGACAAGAATCAAAGAAAAACCTTCTTTTCCACCTCCGTATCACTTTATTTCTAATCTTTTTTTCATTTCACGGCTTTCCCATCTTCGTTTCGTCTTTTCTCCCTCTGACTCTCGCCTCGCGTGACTTGGTGCAGTCCCCAAATCCTATTTCACATTCTCCACCCAACCAACCACAAAGCATTGAAGTTCACACTTCAATCATGACAAGCATAAGCACCAATTTTCACGACCTTTGGTGGAGCTTATCATCTAAGACGCCATCATGCCCACTAATCTCTCTCAATAATATCTTAATAAGTCCATTTCAATTATTGATTTACGCCCAAATTAACACCAACCCAATTTAATTCAAAAAAAGGGAAATTAAAAAAAGAAGTACAATTTTGATTACATCCTCATCCTCACGAGAAAGTAAGAAATTTTGATTACAGAGCCTACACTGGAATATTATAATTTAATTCAAATTAAAGGAAACAAAAGCAAAGCCAGAAAGGCAATCTAATCTAAATTAATCTAATCTTAAAGTAAACTACAAGCATGCGACTACACCACTCATGATTATTCATTTTCATGGGTTTGATAACAAAGCCTCCTCATCAATATTACTTGCATTTGCATGAAGCTCCTTTAACCATTCAAACGTTCGACGACGTGACATAACCTTCTTTCCCTGCTTTTGCTTATGCTTCTGCTTCTTCAACTCCACAACTTTATCTTTCAAGGCGTGCGTTGTACTTTCTGTCTTGTTGGCACTTTTGATCATGACCGTGTTCGATTGCACCGTTTCAAAGGAACAATCACAACCACTCAATAAACCACCACCTTTGCCAACTAACTGTTTCAAAACATGATTGCTCTTGTTCCCATGATGACCCTTGTTATTCGTTTTCACACTTTTCGCATTGGAAACACTGTTACTGCTACTGTTACTGCTACTATTGCGACTGACACAGTTTTTGTTTGCACTGTTACGAACCTTGAGGTCTTGCAACCCTATCTCAGGTGCAGGGACCACACCCAAACGGAAAATTTCCCATGCTGATGACGATTTTCTACCTTGACTCGCTAATTGTCTTGGGGTAGATACTCTTAATTGAGGTTTGGGACTTGGGTGTGTGTGAAATTGGTTTCGAATTCGTGGGGGTGTAACTGTTGTTATGGTGGTGGTGGAGCTGGTGCTACTTGATGAGTTCTGGCTTCTAACACTACTGCTTCTACTGCTATTATTACTTTGAAAATCACTCACAGAACCGTGGTCTAAGGATTCAGACCTTGATTCATTGATGAATTGCTTACCACGATGTTGAGAAGGTGTGGTTAATAAGCCAGCTTCGGAGCTGAATGAAAGACGCAATGGGAGGATTTGGCCTTTGAAGAAAACTTCATCTGCGACACACATTTCGGATTCTTTGGAAAAGAGACCACCCCATGAACGAAAATCGAATTCTTCTTGCGTTGCTTCGTTGATCTGAGAGCGTTGTTGGTTTTCTTGTTGCTCCTTGTGGTTGATCAAAGTGACGGGGAGATCGCAAAGAGACAATGCTTCTTCCTCTTCATCATCCTCTTCTTCTGCTCGGTTCCATTTTGCTTGGACACTGTTTGTCGCCATCTAATGAAAGGAACAGGTTAAGGTTTGAAAGCTGCTGGTGTCGGAGGTGGGAAGGGATGAATGAATAAGGTTAAGGTTTATAATGATAGGGTAAAGATAAATGTTTAAACAGAGGAGGGTGAGTGTGGGTGACAGAGTGACACGGACATAGACATTTGGAATATAAAAAGAGGTTAAAAGAGGGTGCTGACCAGCACTAAAGTGAAAATTAAAATGGGACAGGGTAGTGATCACTTACCAGTGTAGTGAGAGACCCAACAAAACAGTGTTTTAATTTACTTGTTTGGGAGTGCAGAAAGATAGCAAGCGTCACTTGTTGGGCCTGCCACTAGTGGAACCAGTACCATCGCTTTAGATGCTATTCTTCTGCTCCTAAAAGAAACAATGCTATTCTTCCCGAATCTGAGCGAACCAGCGCGAGTGGCTTTGTCAAATGTTTATGCCTAAGTGCGGGTGGGGACTACTGTGGACTGTAGTATACATTTCAAATTCAATTTTATGGGGAGATGAAACATCAACTAGGTACCGTGCTGCATTATCTAAACAAAACAAAGGAAAAATAAATGTTGTTGATACTTTGAATATTTTTTATTGTTAGATATATGTTGGTCTTATTAGTAAACGCATTTGAATTATTAAATACCACCATCACAAACAATTTGTCTATCAATAAAGTACATCTAAAAGATAATAGAAAGTTTGTTAATGACCTTCCTCATCGAAAGAATGATTCATGAGGTAGCAACACTTTTTTTTAATTGCCATTGAATGTTTAAAAAAGTTTATCTAAAAAAAAACTGTTAAAAATTTATATTATAATCATCATTTCACACCAAGTACTTTGTCACTCTGGCCTACCTCCAAATATGAAACCAAAACCATTATACAAGAAATTATTATAGGTAAAGGTTAATTTTCATGATATTCGTATTTTGTATTAATAACCGTGGGAGATAACATTAATTTCCAAGACCCTCAATATGATAAGGTATATTTTATTGTAAACTATCTTTATCTGATATGGTCTGGTAAGTCTTTTTTTTTTCAACAATACCTATGAGTGGCCTAACTTTATTCATCCAAGGACTTTCTTCCTTGATAGTTATGGCAAAACCCAACTTAGTTTTGGCCCAGTATGGGTTTGTGTTAGGCTAAAGCCCAGTTGGCTGGAAAGTACAAAGCATTGGAGAGCAGAATAATGCTGAACCAAAATGAGAATTTGACCTCAAAACGATGGACAGTGTAAAATAGCGTCTTGTATCGGATAGAATATAAGTTGAAATTCATTCATCTCTTTGCAGTGAGATATTTGTAAGTGCTTTTTTAAATTTCATGATTTTTCGTATCTTGAAGCGAGGAACCATTTTCTTCTCCTAAAATATTATGTGTAAAAAAATTAACAATAAAAGTAAAAAACAATTGCATGTTTGGAACCAAAAAGACGACTAGGGATGACAATGGGTAAAGTACCCAATGAGCACCTGTGAAATTTACCCACGATGAGTAAGGTATTTACCTGCTATACAGGTACGGGTATGGGTGTAGGTAAAAACCCGCAAATTTTAATGGGAATGGGTGCGGGTATGGGTATCTAAGTACCCATCCTGCCCCATACCCGCATATATATATATATGCTTGAACTTTATTTTATAATTATGCATTGAATTTTTGTATTATTATATTACTTATGTGAAGTTATATAAGATTAATATAAAAATATATTTAATAATAAAGTAAACTAAAATATTTATTTTGGTTTATATTTTTAATAGAAAAATTTATTTACTATTTTATATAATTTAATTAGGCTAACACAATTTAATTATTACATAATTAATATAAGATTGACTTTTTTTAAAATATTATTTATATATGACACACATAAAATATTTTTTACACAAATATTTTTGTTAATAAAATCATATTGATGTTTAAATCATAAAGTGAATGATAAATAATAAATATATTATAAATATTTTATAAATTTTATAATCACTTACTATTACCGTAAACTTATTATTTATTAATAATATTTAAATTTTATTTTTATATTTTAATTTAAAATAATATTTTTCTATGTAACATATGTATTACAAGCACAACTATAATCTATTGAATCTAAATAATATTATTCTTACTATTTATTCACATTTAAAGAAGTTTTTGAAAAGATATAAATATAAAAAATTATTGTTAATTTTTATTTGTTAATTTTTTTAAGATAAAAAAGTATAATTTTTTTAATATACACGTATATTTCTTTATTACAAAATTTTATTGTAACTATTTATCTTTTATTCAAATTCTTTTTTTAAAAAATTATATACATTATAAATATTTAATTCACTAAAATAATTTTTCAAAAATTTATATTTTTGATAAAATACTTTCTTATAGTATATGAGGTAAAAAATATTAGTATTAATACATATATATTAATTATATTATATTATTTTAATTAAATCTATTATTTTTCTTACAATTTCAAATTCAAAAATTAAAAAAAATATTTTATGTATCAACTTTCTGTTATTAGTATTGAACTTCTCTACTTTAACTTTATTCTCATTTTCAATGTCTGTCTTATTAAAACTTAATAACTATGAAATGTTATTTATTAGAGTTAGTTGTTAATGCCGTCACAAGAGGTTACTAAGTGATCCTACACGAAGGTACAACCATTGTATAGATCTATTTCGTTGTCGTTTTGACATTACTAACAATCAAATCTCACACAAGATAGAATTACTACTAACAAATAACTTGTATGTTTAGTTTTTGCTTATTGTTTCTAAGAATTTTTGTTTAAAAAATTATTATATTAAGATACATTTAACATTTATGATCTTTGAATATTTATTTTTTTATCTATATTTATACCTTGTTATGTTTCTTTATAAATATTTTTTTCTCAAACAAACGCGAGTAATAGGTACAAGACAGGTATGCAGGTATCCAGGTACGGGTACGAGAATTAATATTCATACCAACGCGAGTATGAGACCGGGTATGAGTATTTTTTTAAAATATGGTACTGTAGTACCCTACCCATACCCTACCCATTACCGACGACTTCACATGAAAAGTAACGAGTAACTTTACCACCATGATCAGTTTCTTGTGATACATTCTTACGGATGACCGGGATCCTCATCTTGTTACCTATGAGCAACTTCGCTTTGTGTCAAGTTTTACTTCATGACGTAATACGAATTTCTACTCAAGTTTATTCAATTATAATTTATTTTTCTTGAGCTTTAATATCGTTATTCACCTAAAACAATTCCTACCTCAGTAGATTCAAGCATTTCTGCAATCATCTAAGTACAAAATTATTAGGAGGAAGGTGTTATATCCTAGATGCCAAAGCTATCGCAAGATTTTGATATATAATGAATTGAAAGTGCCTTGAATGAATATCATTATTTTCATTCTCTTAAAAACAGTTAATTTGCACACAGATGATGAAATGGAAGATCATCATCATTTCCAATCAGATAATAAACAACCTTTGTGCCTGAATATATAAATATCAATTCATTCTGTCTTTTGGAATCAAATAATCATTACCGCAAAGAGCTGAAACGAACTAAACAAAAAATCTTTATTTGTGTAGTTATATCATTAATTAGCGATGGACCTACACAGCTGGAACGAGAATCCCCGGGAGAAAGAATTACTTTGCAGCATCATTTCAAAAAGGAAAATTTGACCCAAAAAGATATATGGAAGAAAATTGAAAAACCATCTTCCGATACGTGAAGACACAACAGAGGACCAAAAACCACAACATCCGCAACACACTAGGGTGAAGACTGACCATGGTTCCTCCAATTCCATACACGCATTTTAATATAAAATTTAAGATTAAAATTAATTTATCCACACATTTTAATTTCAATTAAGAATCCAGAATTAGCTCTATTATAATTTAACTATACAACCTTAAAATAAACTTATTCTAAATTGAAATACGATATACCATAACATCCGCAACGTGTTATATAGCTATTACAGTATGCTAAATGCAAATTTAAGCCACCACAAAAAAAAAAAAAACGATTTCTTATTGCACAAAGGAACTATAGATAGTGCTAATTAAGGGACTCCTTGGCGATTAATGGCATCAGTGGCAGCAAATTGGGACTCAGAAGAAACTGCAGCACCAGAGAGAGTGGGTGCCTCAGTGGCACCAGCTCCACGACCTTGATTTGGTTCTTGATGACCTTGGGTACCATACCCCTTAGACTTGTATTCTTCCAAGTCCTTGTATTGCAAATAGGGACTGTCCTTCATTGGAAGCCCTTCAAGGCTTTCTTTTTCTGATTCACTCTTTCTACCCTTCTCCCCTTGCTTCTCCATCTTTCTTTTACCTGTTAGAATCACTTCTCTTTCACCTCTCTTTCTTTATATAAGACACTTCTGTTTTCCATTGTGTGCCATTTGGCTTAGTGTAACACACGTGGTGATCCATGAGACATTTAAGAGACACGTGGCAAGTTTAAGAGATGCTTCCTATTCCTATCCACAAGATGATTAATCGATGAACCAGCTAATCTCCTCGTAGTTCTCACCTCCATGTGTTCTTTGGTTTATGCTGATTTTACGATAATTATGTTCATGCAACGTTGACACCTTCTATTTGTCCTCGATCCCTCTTTAATTATTAAAAGAAGGGAACTTTGCTGTGACTTCCTCTTTTTCCTGTATTTATGTCAATCTTTGTGTGTTTCTCTGCGATGAAGACAAATTTGGCCACTTTTGTCGTCAATCTTTAAATACAACTTGAGATTAGGGTCAAGTTAGGTAAATTTTTAGATAACAACTTTTATATTTTTGAAAAACTAAATAAAAGAGTTTTAAAATATATAATATAATAAAAATATTCAAACTACGCTATAATACGCTCCGTATGTTCGTGGTTAAAATGTCTCTTTTTATCTTCACATACGGCTAAATATCTTTTACATGCCATGGTTTATTCTATCCTTTGAAATTTGACCAGAGGTTGCTGTATAACAACGCAGTTCCATAGTTTGAGTTATAAAAACTCACATTAAAAAAAATAAACTATGTATTCTTTATATATATACATACACGTATTATTAAAAATGTAAAAAAATTGATAAAAAAAAATAACAATAAAAGCTTGATTATTTTTGTTTTAATTTTTAAAAATTATATTTTAAAAAATGTTTTTTTAAAAAATAAAATTTATATTAATAAACAAATTTTATTTTTTTTAACTTTTAAAAAGTAAAAAATTATTTTAAAAGTAGAAAACAAACAAGATCTCTAGACCTTTCCTTGCAAATCAAAGCATATACATCCCATGGCGTACTCATTCGAGGTCACCTTTACCATCCAAAAAACCAGAAAAGAAAGAGAAGCAAAAATATAACTCAACTCTTATTTAGTGATGCTTATCAATGAAATTATGAAAGACGTGTCAGTATAGATCGAGTCAATTGAAAGACGGAAATTTCAACCCAATCTAGAAGGATCATCTCCATTTTGATTTAGCAAACCAATGCCTTAAGCTACCTTGCTCTTCTTCCAATCTACTTACCCAATACCAAATAAAGTTATTTCGTTAGGCTCTAAAAGCCCAAAGTGAAGATATAAAGCTTTACGAATGTGCAATCTTTAATTCAAATAGATTGTCTCTTCTTTCTTCCATTTCTTTAGCAATATATGTTTTCGAGTAAAAAGAACGACGAAGAAAGAAAAGGAAGATTTACCACTATCATGGGATTCGTGTTTAGGATATGGCACATTTTTCATCCATGAATACATAAAGGGGAGCAACCTCTGTCACATTGCCAAAAACTATTACTGCCTCACTATCTTGCTATAATACATTTTACGAATAAAAATAATAAAATTCTAGTTATATTACATTTACGTTATACAAAAGGCACTACTAATAGTTTATCTGAAGTTCTGCGTATATCTTGTTATACAATACGCAAAGAACTAAAGAAAATTTATGAAATTGTCACTAGAAGGTCAAAAGATAAAGATATTAATTTGTTTGTGCCATTTTCGAACTGAAATATTTGCTCCTATTATTAGAAAATTTATTTAATTCCTTTATGAACATATATTGCAACTATTGTACATATACACACACATTGAGGAATAAATAAAATCAACTCTTCTACATTTCTTGTTACGGTATCAAAGCTGAAAATCTACAAGCCAAAAGCATCATGTCTTTAAACAATAACAATTTATCTCTCTCCAAAACAGAGCCAGAACTCTCTGTAAATTTAGAAAAGCCAAATGTAAATCATAATAAGGCTATGCGGAAGCAAAAGCGAATTAGAATACTAACCTCCAGCCATTACAAGTTGACTTGTGATTGAAATTTTTGGTCTTTCCAAATCCTCATTCACTCAATCATGATGGTGTGTATTATTCTAAAAGAGGAGAGGATTTAGGAGACCTAAAACCATGAGTGAGTAAAATACATATAGGGCTCTTTCCATCATTGAGTCCATTCCGAAAAGTTAGTAAAAACCACCTCTGCGTGGAACAAACAGATGTAGATAATGGGGTTATGTGATCACATAATGTTCCTTCAAAATCATAACTACAAACAAAAGTCAATTGCTAACATTCTCCCACTTGATCCATTAATCCCATTATCAACTATAATAAGAAACTATATATATGAATCATGGCGACAGTTCCTCTAATGTGAGTATTATCTTTTATCTATCACAGTATATCAAATCTCTCAACACTAGCTCTCAACTTAATGAATAAACCACATGTTCATTCAAGGTCAAAACTAAATGATATTTCTCAAACAAATAAAAGTGTACACAAAACGAAAGAGAAAACATCCAGTCTAAATAAAAGTCTTATCCAAAATAATAAAGGTATTCATAATGATTGTTACATCATGGAACCAAGTCTCATTCGTGCTACATGATCCTTAAAATTCTTTGGTGGCATGCCTTTAGTCAAAGAATCGGCAATCATCAACTCAGTATAAATGTGCTCAATGACCACTTTCTTTTCTTTAACACGTTCTCTTATGGCTAAATATTTGATGTCGATGTGTTTACTTCAACTTCCATTCTTGTTATTATTAGCCATAAATACTGCAGCAGAGTTGTCATAGTACACCTTCAATGGCCTAGATACAGAGTCCACAACTCTAAGCCCAGATATAAAACTCTTCAACCATGTGAGGTAGCCTCAAAACAAGAAAAGGATTCAGCCTCCATAATGGAAGTAACAGTCAAGGTCTGCTTCACACTGCTCCAAGACACAGCTTCACAAGCTAGCATAAAAATGTAACCAAATATAGATTTTCTGGTATCAATGCAGCAAACAAAGTCTGAGTCAGAGTAGCTTATCACTTCCAAAGCATCAGTCCGTCTATACATAAGCATGTAATCATTTGTTCCTTGAAGATATCTCATTACTTTCTTTGTAGCTTTCCAATGGTCAACACCTGGATTACTCTGATATGGAATATTTTTCATGTGTTCCCACCCAAGGCCATTTTTCGGACATTGGCTCAATTCAAGCCTATCACCCTTCACAATGGGAGCTACACTTGGTGAACAATCTTTCATGTTAAATCTATCTAAAATCTTATTAATATAGGTCTCTTGAGACAAACCTAAAATGTCTCGAGATCTTTCTCTATGGATCTTAATGCCTATGACATAAGATGTCTCACCCATATCTTTCATATCAAAGTTCTTTGAGAAAAATTGTTTCACTTCATATAGCATACACCTATTATTAGCCGCAAGCAAAATATCATCTACGTATAAAACAAGGAAACAAATCTTACTTCCACTAACCTTAAGGTATATACATTGATCCATGATGTTTTCTTCAAAACCAAATGAAGATATGACTTAATGAAATTTTAGATACCATTGACGGGAAGCTTGTTTTAATCCATATATAGATTTATTAAGCTTGCAGACTAAATGCTCACTGTTACTAGAGAAGAATCCTTTAGGTTGTTTCATGTAAACCTCTTCTTCTAGATTACTATTGAGGAACATTGTCTTCACATCCATTTGATGTAACTTAAGGTCAAAATGAGCTACCAATGCCATAATCACTAGAAGAGAATCCTTTTTAGACACAAGAGAAAAGGTCTCCTTGTAATCGATTTCTTCCCTTTGAGTGAACCCTTTGGCAACAAGTCTTGCCTTATGTATCTCAATGTTGCCTTGTACGTCTTTCTCGGTTTTAAAGACTCACATGCATCCAATGACTTTTACATCATCAGGCAACTCAACGAGATTCCAAACTTTGTTAGATGTCATAGAATCCATCTCATCTTTCATGGCATTGTACCATAAATTCGATTCCTTAGAATTCATGACTTGTGAAAACGTTTCAGGATCATTTTTGGCTCCTATGTTTATATTCTTGTAAATACACCACATAGTCACTAGAAATCGTTGACCTTTGGACTCTAGTAGATCTTCTTAATGTTGTCTCATTATCTTGATGAGGAACTTGTTCAACCACTTCCTCAATAGGTTGATCAACATTTACATGTGGCTTCTCATTAATAACTTGATCTACCAAATCGTATTCAACAGTTTGTGAAACTTGGATAACTGGTTGTCTAATACGCTCTTGAACTGGAGAAGTATGAATGACTACCAATCTATCATTTGACTCAGAGGGTTTAGTTTTATAATGATCTATTTCAAGAGCAGTGTCTTGATTAGGTCACTCCCAATAATTAAATTATTTTCAAGAAACTTTGCATTTCTTGATTCCACAATTCTAGTGCTATGAGATGGACAATAGAACTTATATCCTTTGGACTTTTCAGCATATCCAATGAAATAATCACTACCAGTCCTAGGGTCAACTTTCTTCTCTTGTGGATTATAAATTCTCACTTCAAACGGACATCCTTAAACGCGTATATGTCACAAACTAGGTTTCCAACCTTTGAACAGTTCAGAAGGTGTCTTTGAGACAACCTTAGTTGGAACTCTGTTTAATATATACACAGCCATCTTAAGTGCTTCAATCTTTAAGAATTGAGGAAGCTTTGCATTGCTCCTTACCATGTCCATCAAAGTTCGATTCATTCTTTCTGCCACACCATTCTGATCCGAAGAACCAGGCATAGTGTACTGAGCAACAATCCCATGTTCTTGAAGAAATTTTACAAATGGACTAGGTGCTTGTCCATTCTCTGTGTATCTACCATAGTATTCTCCACCTCGATCTGATCTCACAATCTTAATTTTCTTTCCACATTGAAGCTCCACTTTAGCCTTGAAAACTTTAAAGGCACTCAATGCTTCATCTTTAGGACGAAGCAAGTAGAGATACATATATCATGAGTAATCATCTATGAAGGTGATAAAGTATCTCAAACTACTTGCGTCCATGTCTGGACAACAAATATTTGTATGAATGATCTCCAATAGGTTTGAACTCCTCTTGGCACCAATTTTAGACTTGTTAGTTTGCTTACCCTTAATGCAATCCACTCAAGTGCCAAAATCAGTAAAGTCCAAAGTACTAAGTACTCCTTCATTTACTAATTGCTTAATTCTCTCAATGGAGATGTGTC